CTATGGTATCTTTGACTACTATAATTAAACTACATTCCTTCTGACCTCGGCTACTCGTCGACGAAGTTCATATATCGAACCACCGTTACTCAACCATGGTCCTTTCGACCTCCATCACTAGCCGACTTCAGTCCTCGGACCACCATCGCCCTATTATGGTTCTTGAAACACTATCACCCGACTACGGTACCAATGTCACTCAACTAGGTTCTTCCAAACTCATTCACTCGCCAATTATAATCCTCCGACTTGCATTACGTACTCAACTATGGTCCCTCCGATTTTTGTTGTCCGACTATGATCTCTTCAACCTCTGTTGCCCAACTACAGATCCTCTGACCTTCGTCACTCGACAATGATTCTTTCGACCTTTGTGGCCCCCAAATTACGGTCCCTCTAGCCCTAGTCGCTTGATTGCAATTTATCTGACCTTTATCACATGACTACGATACGTTCTATCGACCAAATGAGCATGCCAACATTCTTTTGAGAACAACTCTCATATCATTAGATTCTTCCAATCATGTAATCTTCTCTATACGATGTATATTCATAATATTGAGCAAACATCTTCTCCTGAAGAAGGGTATCATTTGTAATCAACAACACGTTAGTGTAATCATTTTAATTGGGCCAGACCCCATGGTTTTTCCTTTGTAGGATTTTTCACGTAGAAAAATATGATATCTTTTATAACTGCTACAACTCTCTCTCTCTCTCTTTCTATCTGTTGGATTTTCGTATAAAATTATGACGTTAACCTCTCTATTTCTCTACCATCGTGAATGTTCCAACCGGCAACAATAGATAAATCTAAACATAATGAAAACATTTATTATAAAATACATAATAAAATATTAAAATGTTTATATAAATATAAAATATTAAGATGCATTAATTCCTTATGATCATTTTATAAAATTACATCACGTCAATGTGAGCACAAATGCTGCCATAGCAGCTGCGGGTATAGCAAGCAAAGACTTTGTTCAATAAAAAGCGTAAAGTTCACCCAAGCGTCCTCCTCCTCCCAGTTCAGGCAAAATAAAAATAAAAATAAAATAAAATAAAAACGGGGCCCACACAGCATTGCCCAAAATACTCAGTGAGGTGCGCTTAAAATTGGGTGTCTTTAAAGTGGCGTTTTCGTGTTACTAAAAATTCCAGCTAATAAGCAAGTAAATATTCCACCTTCATTTTGTATCTATTCACATTATTTTTATTAAATTATTGCGAATAATCAAATGCCAGCTTTGAATACAGAAAGAGGGAATATATATCGGCTTGGCTGACAAGCAAGCTGATAGAGAAGCTTACAATATCTGCATGGAGCGGGGCCCACCCACCTTTTGTTCATCCAGAAGCGAATCAGAGCGCGTCACGTCATCTCTTTGTTGTATATCGCGGCTGTGTGCCTGACGTATACCAGGTGACGTGACGCGCTCTGATTCGCCTCCGAATAGTTCGGTGTCAGCACAGCATAATTTCTCGTGAACAAGAGATGAAGAAGAAAGTTTATTTTTATTAGCATATGCAAATAAAAACAAATTAATAGGGTAATTAATCAATCATAATCAATTATGTGTTTAGTTTTTAATTATATTCTTACAAAAAATGACTCACATTACATCCATTTGAGGATAACGAGCATCAACCTTTTTATAAAAGCAAAATATTTTTTTTTTTATTACTAATCAAATGTCTTGTTTTGTGGGATTTGTTTATGTATTATATATTTATTATTTGAGACATTCAATTTTTAAATTAAATTAAAAGATGATTCTATCAGTGTAAAATTGTAAATTATGTAATATAAAGGATATCCTTAGATATAACTAGAGGAGTCATTATTTTATAGTATCAAATAGAGCTAGGAAAAATATCTCTGGTTGTGGAAGCAAGAACCTTGTTCGTCTTAGTTTTTATCAGATGATGATGAACAATAAGTGTAATCCACAAAAAAATTGCTCACTCGTATAATCATATAGATTAACAAAATAAGTGTCATATCTTCTAAGAAAATATACAATACAAACATACTTGACATCTCAATTATGAAGTTATGTCTTCTTTGAAGATTTCGCATTGGGTTGGAAAGGCCTAGCTTGGGCATCATATAATTCAATGAGCAAAATTTAGTGAATTTAATTCAGCTCCTATAATCATATCGTAATACATATAAGGCTTGAATAAATGAGTCAAGTCGAGCTTGAGTTACTCCTAACTTGAGCTCGGCTTGTCCAGTCAAAGATAGGCTTGAAGTCGAGTTCGAGCTTGAGGTTAGCTTATGTATTGAACTCGAGCTCGAGCTGAACTTGTTAAAATAACCTCAAGCTTGAGCTTGACTTGATAGGTCATCCAGAAGGCATGACGTGAGCATGTTGGAGAAGCATCAACAACATGATGGCTCGTTGAAGAAGGTATCGCAACGGCAGCTCACTAGAGAAGATGCTGTGAAGACAGAGAGCTTGGAGAAGAAGGTGTACCCAGCAGATTTTATTTTATATATTTTTAAATGGTATCATCTTTATTTATTGAAAGCAAGGTGATAAGGTTTACAACATTTCTATTTTTATTTTTTTCAAGAAATTGCAAATTTTTTATGTGTTCTTAAAAGACTAAAGGATAACAACATTAACTTTTATTCTAATATAACGAGGGAAGAAGCGAGCCAGCTCGCAAGCAAACGAATTAAGTTCAAATGAGTGCGAACTTAAGCTTATATAGCATACAAGCTATAATGAAAGCTCAAACGAGTGCGTGACTTAACAAGATGATTCTTGAGCTTATTAACAAGTTCAAACTGACTTGTGAGCTAACTTGGCTCATTTACGTCGCTAAGCTTGAAAATAAAATATCAAAATATTGTATTTGTGTCAGCTCCCAGCCGCCATAATCACTTGTGGATTCTTCTCATGCCTTATATTATCAGTTGAGTCTCAGGTTCGTCATACCCATGATGATACAAAAGCTTAAAAGACATGCTTATAGCCATATGCTACTGTCATATTAATGGATATAATTATAATTTGTATAAATAATGCGAGAGCACGAATTGTAGTTAAATAACATCCTAAAAGCGAAAAATCCAAGGAGGTTGGAAAAAAAAACAAGAGTTTACCATTGTCTATTAGCTTGCTGGAGAAGAATCACCGAAATATTGATTCATTAGAGTGAGAAATTATTCTGCGCTATCACCAAATCGACTGGAGGCAAATTAGAGTGCGCCACATCATCGGTACACAGTAGTACGCAATCCCGATGTACATAAAAAAAGTGACGTGGTGTGCTCTGATTTGCCTCTGAACGCCGTAGGATGACCGCACAAAATACTTTTTCCATTAGAGAAGGCACTACAGTGGCAGCTCAATGGAGAATATGTTGAAGGAATCCACAATATATTTTATTTTATATATTTTCAAATGGTAGCACTATAGTAGTAACTTTAATGAAAATAGTGATGATAAGATTTACAACGTCATTAAATTATTCAAGAAATTGTAATATGTTTTTTTTTTTGGAAAAAATTGAAGGATACAACTTTGATATGTTATCAAAAAATTATCTTAATAAGGCATGAATCTTGAGGCAAGATCAAGTTGGAAACTTCCGAAATTAAATATGGGATCATTCGAACTCCGATTTAAACAAACTTATAGTAGTACTAAACATCTCGAAAAGACGAACCCAACAACACCAAATTTGACTAAATCTGAGCCCAAATGGGTCGAAATCAAAGGCTCAAAGCGCCTTTGGATGTTCAAACCATAATTTGGATTACAAAACGATTTTCAAATGCGGCATGCTTATAGTCAAATCGAGCGGCTCAACGAGACAAATCCAACGAGCCCAAGATCACTGAATTCTAATATCTTTAAGATATTAAAATACCCAATAAACCATCATCGATCAAGGGGATCAATTTGACCGTCCATTCAAACCACTCTCAACATACCCTTGATCTCCCTCCTAATTGCTGGCTATGCCACTCTAAAAAAATTATAAATAGGCCCCTCATTCTTCAATGACGGAATCCCAGGCAAGGAAGAGAAGGGAGAGAAGGGAGAGAAGGAAGAAGGAGAACTCAAAATAATCTTGCCACCAGACTCCTTAACCACCGCTCGACCACTGATCATTGTCGGACTATCGCTGGACATCTTCCCGGCCAGACTAATGCAGGAATTTCACTCAAGCACCAGCCATCGCCAGACTACCTCCCGGCTGCGAACTGACGTCGGATTTTCGTCTGACCACTGAACATCGTCAGATTCCTATCTATATATGTTCATCACTATATTTCAACTCGACAGTTGATTGTTGTAACACGGTCGTCCTCAATTTTCAGGACAAAATTGTCATTTGTAATCTATTTAAACACCAGTGGAATCATTTTAATTGGGCGTGAACCCGTAATTTTTCTCTTCAAAGTTTTCAGCGTAAAAAATTAAGGTATTTCTTTTTTCTCTATTTGTGGAGCTATGTTCAAACAAGCTGAAACTTGAACTCGTATAACATACAAGTTGTAATATGAGCTTGAACTCGAGCTCGTGACTCAATAAATTAGATCTGAAACTTATTAACAAGTAGAGTTCAACCTGACTCACAAATCAACTTAGCTCACTTACACAATTTTTTTATTTTTTTTTGAAAGAATTAAGGGACAATGCCACGACTCACATATATAATATATATTTATGACTTAAATTCAAGATCTCTTAATTCATAAAAATGTTCAAACAACAATTTAAGGAGAGCTACATACACTATAAACTTGGAAATACTATGTTGTGGCCGCCAGGCCCAGTTGGGGCTTCTCCTCGCGCCATTATTGTCGGCGACTCGGCGGAGTCTCCGGTTTGTCATATACATGACGGCATGAAAGCATAAAAGACACGCTTATAGGTTTATTTACAACTTCATATTAGTAGATATAATTATAATTTATATAAATGCTCGAGCGCGAGCAGTTGTTTAAATGTAGTTAAATAACATCTGAAAGCGAAAAATCTAAGGAGGCAGGAAAAAAAAACCGGAGTTTTCCACTGTCTACTGGCTAGTAGTTTTTTTTTTCTGTACCAGGAGAGAGAAGGTGCCAATTCCTTGTTCCTACCCAACTTCTCTGTTTCGTCCGAAAGATCTACACTCTCTCACCTCCGTCTGTGGTGGCTACTGGATCCCGACGGAACTGGAGCCTTTTCCACTGCTCGACACAGTTTAGGCCAGTTTTCTTCACTAATGTCCACTTTTTACCCTTAGATTTCCGATTCCCCTCTAATTTTCTCGGTTGTTTCCACCATTTGCTTTTTAGTATGAATGATTGAGGCATCCACGAACAATTTTCGCTAATGCAGTCCGCTTCTTGCTCTTCTCATGTTTTATAGTACTTTTATTTTCTTAATTAGAGATTTGCGGATAACCTGTTTGTTGATTATTGGGAAATAGTGAATTATCTGGATCTGATGTTAATGGCTTCCAATGTTCTGGAAGGGATGAGACTGGAAGTGGGATCAATCTTCCATGTCTGGGATCAGTCTAGATTGTATTGTTTCGTTTGCTGGTGGGAGTAGAAAAGTTGTCTTATCTTAATGATTTAAATGGTTTTCGGTTTTCCTTTTTGCTTCTAATTGTTTGAGATGGCATCATGTATCAAATTGTTTGGATCTAGCTAGCAAGTGCTTAGCATGAGTATTCATTCATTTGTGATTGCTTGAAATTAGGGTAGGCTCTGCATGAGGCGGAAATGTTGGATATTTTGATATGATTTGTTGTTTTTGGTGGGTGCAGGTTGTAACGAGGAGGTTGTTGGATCGGCTTCTCTGAATCAGGGGATTGAGCATCAAGCAAAGCTGGCGGCAACAATTGCTTGGAGATACACCAGCAGCAATGGTGGCAACCATGGAGCTTTGGATCTGGTATATTTCAGCCTGTTTAAACCTGTGCAACGGTTATGCTAGATTTTGATTCTTTCTGGTAGTATTATGTTCTGCATAAATTTTTAATGTGCTGGCCTTTGAAAAATGTGTTAATTGTTGGAAAAATGGTTGAAATCAAGTTTAGGTTCTTAGATTAGTCCTTTTGATTCTTTCCTATTTTTGCGTAGTTTTTCTTTTCTGCCATGGATTACAATCATATTAATATGTTGGAGCCCTTCAATACTTTATTTTTTTAAATGTTTTTTTGTTGGCACATGAAAGTTATGGTAGGTTGACCTTTAGCAGTATGTGTGCCTGACTCTCTCATTTTTTGTCCGTCTCTTCCACAATTCTTTGAAGTTATCAAATTTTTATGGTTCATTGATGGAACAATGTCACGTTCAAAACCAGCCATTTGACATTTTAAACTTGGGTGGAACTGTTGCATTGTAGCTTTTTGAGTAAAGCAATCCGCCAAACTGCATTAGGTTTTTTGTTTAGGTTCTCGTGATCCTATGGTAAGCTGAAAGCAACCCCAAATTTTCATGTCAGCTTTGTGAAATCTACTGCTACGTTTTTGTATGTCGGTTTTTATTTGTTGGCCATGGAATAGCCAGCTGTACAAAGCTACAGCTTGCTGTCTCTGTCTCCATTTTATTGTGTAAAAAGAAGTATAATGAACTCAGGATAAGAAGTGACTAGTATTCTCCTTCAAACCTCGAGTAGAAAGTGAAATAGCCTCAACTCTGCTGCTCAAAGAGTAGAGATGAGTTGTTTGAATAAAATTGGCCCGTAGTTCTTGAACCAAAATTATTTACTCATGCCTTTGGTCTGAAATTCAATGCTGGATATTGAAATATAAGACAAAACCATTTTCATCCTATATTTTTATTAGACAAATTTGGTAGAGTATCTGCAATGGATAAATATTTTACTAGGGCTTAACATGTTATATGACTGATTGATAATATAGATAGTGTTTTTATTTAATTAGTCTAATCAGCCATTTTTGAGATATTTAATTTTGTTTTACTGCATCTTTGTTCTCACCAGGTCAATGAACTTTAATTTGTTTCTATGATATATATTTGAATGCAATCCTAAACAATTCAGATGCAATTACCTTCTCTTTTTATGCTGTTCAGTCTTTTAACTAACCTGAATCAACTTACTTCAGCAATTGGTAGTGATAGGCTCAGTTTTTTGTGCAAACTCTTGAATGAATTAAAAGCAACTTGCAATAAGCTTTGGCCGATCAGAATAAAATTTTCTAAGGTAAATTGGGCCTCATCTTCGCCTTCCGAGCGCCTAGCTAAATCATACCTACTTTAAGTGATCGGTGAATGAATTTAACAATGGAATGCCTTGGTATAACCTTTTTTTACTCTTGCATGGGTGTTCTTTACAGCTCAATAATCAATTTACTCAGATATTGTGAAGGATGACATCTTAACTAAGTGATGGAGCCTACTTGGGATAAGATGTGGAGTTGTGTTATGCTAATCTACCACTTTGCTGATACTGGATCCAATTATAAGCCTCTTGCTTGGGGCCTTGCCTAGTTATAGTTGTGCTCATTGCATGAGGATTGAATGGAGCCTGAAGCACTGATATGATGAATCCATGATAAAATTTACTTAGTCTTGATGTCATAGAATATGTTGAACCAGATTGGGTTCCATATTTGATTTCAATGTTTTAAATATTGAGGGTAGATAATAATCAATGCTGAACTTTTGAAGATGGATAAATTTATATTTTTTATTATGCTCAGTGACACTTTTTATAATTCATATTCTCTATTCGATATGCCAGTTGTTGCATGACTATCTCTTTATATTCTTAACAAAGTGAATCATATTGTATCATATACTCATGAATTCTTTGCCATCCTCTCTACATCTTTTCAACAAAAACAAATACTTAATGCCACCTCATTAATTTCATGATTCATTGCTTCATTCTTGCTCACTTATCAATGTTATGCTTGATACTATCAGGAGAGAAATGTGGATGGTAAAGTTCAGGAGTCGGAGCCATCTACTCCACATTCTGCACTAAAAATGAACGTGAGGTAAATTTCACAAATTTATTTTATAAATATTTTTCCAAATATTTTAGTATGAATCCTTGTAATTTTTTCTCATAACTACACGTTCTTTGAGTTTTTTGTATTTAGTGTTAACTTATTGTGAAATTGTTTTATATCATGTTTGGACTGGATGTGATGATTTATCCACAGTGATCCACGCATGCTTATTGTCTAATCATACAAGTCAAATACACTCAGTTAACTTGTGAAATTCATTTAAGGTGAAAATAACAATAATTTCTTGAGGGAGGACCCCAAAGGAATGAGGCTGAAGATGATAATAATTGAAGAACGACCATCAACTTTTTATCATGTCCCTCGAAAAGTTAGACTAAAGGTTGGAAGTCCACAAATAGCCTTTCTTGGAGTTATTAGTTGTCTCTGCCTATTGACAAGTTTAAGCTAAATTTAATCAAATTTCATGGGTATTTACTCTTTCTATTTTATCTTATTCTTCTCTAGTGCTCATGTCCCTCGAAAAGTTAGACCAAAGGTTGGAACTCTGTGACAATCTCAAATTGAACAAATGGACTCATGCCAGTATATTTATTGATAGATGATTTTATGCAAGCTCATCCATAGATATTATTTAATTCCACCTAGATTCAGGATTTTGTATCAAACGATGTAATTGATCTTCCTAATTTCTTTTAGTTACTTTAGTTTATGAGTGATAAACAGTTAAAATTTTGTATTTTTTTTTGTTTCCAAGGATTTCATTAACTCGTTAATTTATAATATCCCGATCAGAAACAATTGTTTTAGGCAACTCATGCAACTTAAATATCTTGTTTTAGACAACTAAGTCATTTTTTAAAAATAAATTTCCACTATAGAAACAAATTTGTTTTTTTTCCATGTTATGGTAACCCTAACACCAAGTCCATACAGACATCTTTCCCATGACTAAAATTGAGTTGACAAAGCTTTATGTCATTATGTCATGTTTTTTATCTCGAGCAGACGGACAAGTCCGATGTTATGAAATAAAACATGCCACTTCTCTTTTTAAACTTTTAGTTAGATATATTTATCTTAAGTCATTGCAATGGTATTATCTTTACCAAATTATTTAGCAAAACCTCTTACATTTAATTTAAAATCATAATGTCTCTAAAAGATGAATTACGAATGCTAAGAAGTTATCTTTAAATAAGGGCTGAGTTCCTGCAGAAAAACAGCAACTCTTTTGCTGTTTTCCCCACTCGAATAGATAGGAAATACTTGGATCTAAGTATTTCCTATCACAAAACCTCTTACATTTAATTTAAAATCATAATGTCTCTAAAAGATGAATTACGAATGCTAAGAAGTTATCTTTAAATAAATAATCATATTTCAGCATGTAAATTTCGTTAAGCATGAATGAAATATTATTTAAATGTTGGTAAATTTGCCATTTGCCACCGAATTTCTTAGAAGTGACAAACCCCTCTTTATTATTATCAAAATTAGTCATCTTAACACACAATACATGTAAAATAACAGAAGCTCTGCCAAAGCATTGACATATTTATTCTCAATTTCAAGAGTAATTTTCTCAGCACATCCCATTTGCATTGAAAGAATATTGATTTTGGTAATTTGAAAGAGTACGACTAAGATATTAGCATTATGATTGTTGCCTCCTAGGATTGCGAGTGAGATACAGTCTCAAAAAAGATTTTTTCAAGATTGTTGTCTTTGTCATATGGAATCGAGATCTCACCCCTAGGAATTATACATGGCTTGAATTGGATTTGGAATGTATGGTTGGAGCAGCATTAGGAGTCCTGCCTTGGATATCTTGCGAATCAGTCTATTGGTAATCATGTTGCCTCTTTGTTTGCATTCTTGATGGCTATCTCAACTAGGGTTGATATATTTTGATCTCTCTCATTACTCACATACCCTCTAGATTTTAGCAATTTTCATGGAGGATTAGCTATCCTATAGGGTGCATGCGAGATGAGGGTTACTTTGTTAGGTTGTGGTTTTTATTCTTCTTTTGTGCATGGGTATACTTAAGAATTGGGAAAAAGGCTAGTCAATACTCTTGATTTGTGCACTATATTTGCAGTTTGTGTGTTTTTATATTAGATCCAATCTATACTCCTATGGATATAGGCTTGGTTAATGTCAAATTATAAAATTAAATATTGTTTCCTTTGTGTTGTTTTCTTATTATTTTATATTACTTTCTAGCGCAGTCTTTGATTCTGATAATTTTTCAGTTCTTTTGATTTGGTGTTGTGCTACAATAAATTTGTATCAGATCATATTTCGATTGTTGGTTGATGTAAAACGATCATGCAAGGATGATTAACTTAGGGAGTTGCACGTTTAATTTTAGAAGCCACAATAATCATATATTCACAATGAATTTTCTAACAACAAAAGAAAACACTAAGAGCGGTAAAATAAGCTTAGGCTGAATCACACGCGTAAGAGTTAAGATCATAAAACAATCTAGTCAATCTAACGTTGCATACATAAATGGTTTCAACAATAAATCCCTAAATTAACAATGAGGATAGTTGCTATGCAAGGACCCCTCACTCTACTCACTAGATCACTAAGGTTTTAGCGGACGAGTGTCAACACTATCTTCATGACTCTACTAAGATCACAATTGAGGAGTAACTACGAAGATAAAGAGCCGGAGAAAGAGCTTTACCCAAAGAGAGAAGATACGTGGCTGCGGTTAGGACTCCTAGCAGAGAAAACCTTCGGCTGGATTGGCTGGAATGGGATTGGAGGGCCTCCAAAACAGCAAAACGAGGATTCCGGGAATACAGGACAACAATTTCCTGTTTCTGGACTTCAGGACAGCAGGTGGAGTCCTCTCTAGATGCAGAAATCTGATTTGGACAGCAATCATGCAAGTCTTGGTCAGCAATCTTGATGCTTGGGGTAGCCTTAACGACAAACTGTAGTGCCTAGGAAATCCTAGGCTGCTCTTGGAGGGTTGCTAGTTAGCATACGGGAGTGACGTGGTGGCAAAATTGCTGGTTGGAAGTTTTCTGGATAGTATTTCCTGGGTCAGAATGGCTGGACAGCATATTGGATTAGTTTCCTGATGGCCAGGTTCTGTTTGAAGGGGTGATTAATTCGGCTAAGGATAGGGGAATGTAATGGACCCCTCCGGTTGAGATAAACATTCAACACGGCCATCATCGGGGTGTTTGGGGTCATTTTCACTTGTTGATTAAACCTTGTCGACCCTATCAACTTATCGATAGGGGATCGGGTTTCTCGTAGGCTTTGTGCCTTTGTTTATGAATTTTCTTGATTTTAGGCATTGAAGGCCTAAAAAGAATGTATTTAAATAAATACACCGGTCACTACAACCGTGTATCTATTTGATAGTTCGAACCCTGTCGACTCCTATTGATCCGTATAGAAGGATCGGGTTCTTTAGGCTTCATGCCTTTGTTCATGAACTTTCTTGATTTTAGGCCTTGAAGGCCTAAAAAGAATGTATTAGATAAATATTCTGGTCGACCTCGTGACCACATATTTATCTAATGGTTTGAACCCTGTCTACTCCCATTTACATGCTTAGGAGGATCGGGTTTCGCAGGCTTCGTGCTTTTTGTTCAGTGAATTCTTTTGATTGTAGGCTTAGCATGCCTAATACGAATGTGTTGAAACAAATACACTGGTTTCCACAGCCGTGTATTTGTTTAAAGGTTCGAACCCTGTCGACTTCTATTGATCCGTATAGAAGGATCGGGTTCGAACCAGAATTCACTTATCGACCCGCGCAGCATCCCTAGGCGTCACGTGTGTACCAATAACACGCTCGCCGGGGCCCATGCGGGTGATTTTTATATATCCCCTTTAGTGTATCTATGTGTATACATTCTCTAGTGCACGTGTAGGGGTATTTTGAAATATTTGTAGTTGTGCATGTATTTGTCATTTGAATGCACAGCATTTCCTTGAAAAGCTTATACACGCCTTCTGTCTGCTTTCATAAGTGTTGCAGATCCGGTGGCGTTGGATTCTGATATTGACTCCCCCTTTCTCATTCACCGGGGGTTTGTTCTGGATTTTGATATTTATAGATGTGAATATCGTCTTCTTCCTGAATATAAAATCAAGAATGAATTTTGAAACACCAGGAAGTTTGGTTCTAATTTGTTCAAACATGTCCTTCCTTTTGTCAGGGGATGTCTTTTTTCGTACATCGGGTCGCCCTCGTACTCAACGCACTTGTAGAACTTGATCACCACTGTCGTAGGTGATA